CACCCAAGGCGCAGTTCGTGGAAGTTAAGGGCAAGTTGGTGGTGCCAGGACCCAGGTGAGGGGAGGGATGTGGGGAAACCCTGCCCGCTGCAGCTCACCCCTCCTGTCCTCCGAGCCCCCAGTACCCCAGCCCCAGGCCATGCTCCCCTCCACCACAGCCTCCAACTGTCATCGTCTGACCCCTTCATCCCAGGCCCTGCCTGCAAGGCCCACACCTGTTGCCCAGTAACATTCACTCGCTCAGTAATACACGAAGCCCCAGCAACACCCCACGCCACATCCCAGACACCCCGCTCTTTCTGTGGGACCCACCTGCCCGCCCCCTGAGAAGAGCCCAGGGCAGCTGCATGGCTTGCCTCTGCGTGTCAGGCCGCCCTGAGGTCCCGAGTCTCTTGGGATCCCCCGCACAGGCCAAGTATGGGTTGGGGGGCTGGAGGTGCCGAGGAAGATACCCTGGGCCCTGAAATTCGTCTTCAGTGCTGCCGGGGACCCTGGCAGCACAAGGACACACAGACCCCGGAAATCCAGTGTCCACTTCGAACTGTGAACCTGGGATCATCCCCACCGACCCAGGAGGAGTTCCCTGGCTGGAGCCACCAGGTGATGGAAGGAGAAAGAAAAGGGGAGTCTGTAGGCAGGTGAAGGAAAGAAGGGAGATGCTGGCATCTGGAGAAAGTTCCGAGTGTTACCCTGCTGGGGCGGGGTTTCTGGCCACCCCCTTCTCAAGTCCCCATCCTCCAGCCCCACCCCCTTCTATCCTTGATGGTGCCCCCCCCCCACGGGGTTTCATGTGCGGGAGAGGGGGGCGGGGGGGGGTGAGCGAAGCTTCATTCCACAGCTGGGGGACCCTGGCAGGCAGGGCCATGCGGGCTCAGTTCCCACTGTGACCTAAGGAGGCCCGTGCTGGGTGGGCCTGGGAACCCAGGCACCTTTTGAAAAGTCACATTCGTCCCAAACAAGTGACTCAGAAGCTTCTGGAGCGCAGCCCACGGCAAGTTGGGGCCTCCTGCATTCTACATCTCAGGCTCCCCAACGGACCTTGGGAGTCCCCTCCCCCTCCCTTCGCAGAGCCACAGACCGGGCGCTGCTTCCATGTCAAGGCCCTGCTCTCCTGGGATGCTAACATGGTTATTCTCGATTTCCTTATTTCTCTATCCTTTTCTGTTTCCTCATCTGTTTGGGTTTTGTTTCTTAGCAACACCCAAAGGACACGCAGCAATCATGGGTTCAGAGTCTGGGCTCCGATGGGGAGAATTTCTGTTTTGCTCCCTAATGGACAGCAAAGCATCCGGGAAACTCATGCAGCCAGGGACCTGGCAGAGGCGACGGGGCAGAAGTGACTTCAGTGCCAGGCCGTGGCTCAGTCCGATCACTCAGAGCTCTAGGCCTGACCTCGCCACTCCTCCCAGCAGCTTCCCCAGGGCCTCAATGGGCAGAGGCACCCACGGACGTTCCCCAGCCCGGAAGTCAGGACAGTCGTGGCGGGCTGTCGCCTTACATGAACACATCCCTGGGAGAAACTCAGAGGACCTGTGGATGTGCCTCCGCGAGCCCACATGCACCTGCAGAATCGAGAGGCACAAAGCATCCATGAGCCACGACAGGAAACGGGAAGAGTATCGGTCCAAGAACTAGGAAAAAGTTAACACAGAAAAATCTGTGTTTTCCTCCAACCAGGGCAGCAGCCATGGGACGGCCCCACAGGGTTCTTGCATCAACCAGCAACGGCACCGCTGGGCACCTAGAGACTCAGCCCTCCACCCCAGGAGACAACACTAACGGCTTTGGCCAAGAGGGAGGCAACAGTATGACGTCGCAGGGAGCCCAGTGGAACGGAATTGAGAAATGGAATTGGGAAGTGGACACTCCAGCCAGATCACTGCCATAACCAGCTATGTGGCCTTGGGCAGGTCACTGCCCATCCACGAGGCAGCAGGCAGGGCTCACAGCTGTAGAATTAATTCATCGATGCTAAGTCCTGAGGAGACCCCAGGTGGGTTACCAACAATAAACGCAGACGGCGGGGCTCTGCAGCCCCTCAGCCCTTAGCCGGGGCCTTGGAACCCCGTGGAACACAGCAGTTCAGCTGGGGCCACGGGGCCACCCTTCCAGCAGGAGGCTCCACCGCCATGGCTGGCACACTGTCCCCCGTCTGTGTCCCCACACCACTCCTCCCACCATCTAACTGCTCGAGCTCCCGGCAGCAGACAGGGACCTGTGACCAGCACACCGTCCCTCACAGTTCCCGGGCACTTTCACCCACATCCCCTGGACCGTCACAACCACCACCCTGCGTGGCAGACACTGGCCATTGGCAGAGGGATTCCAAGTCCACACACGTCAGTCCCTTGCCAGAGCTGGGCAATGTCAGGCTGGAGCCCAGAAGGTCCTCCTGGCAAAGGTCAAGGAGAGAACGGCCAGGACAATGCTGCCTCGAGACCAGGCCCAGGCGGCCTTCCTGCCACCCGCTGGAGCTGGGCACAGGTGACCGAGTGGCCCTGAGGCCCAGTATCCTGACAGCCTCCAGTCCCTCGGGCCCAACTCTAGTGCGAAACCAGGGGTTGAGAGAGAGGGGGTCCTTCCTGCCAGCCCGGGGGGGCCCCCCAGGCACATTTTGACTCAAGGGCCAAGTGAACAATGCCGCCCCCCACCTTCGAAACAGGTCCCCCCTGGGCTGCAAGCCAGTGGCAGGGGAAGCCCAGGGTGACACTCCAGGTGAAGGCTGAACTCACCTCTCTCAGCAACTGCATCCCCTTCAGCCTGTCCTGCTGCTGCTGGGCCACGGTGACCCCCACAATGAGCGTGTGTGCCACACAGGACACCACCGAGATGACGACGATGGGGCCGAGGCTGAGGGGCAGCGTGATGAAGAAGGAGAAGACGAAGAAGGCCTGCCAGCCCACCGTGTCGCTGGCCGCGTGGGCGCCGGGGAAGCTCAGGCCCAGGTAGGAGAAGATCTGGGCGGTGATCAGCAGCCACAGCAGGTAGGGCACCACCTTCCGGGTGACCCGGCTGGGGAGCAGCCCCTTCCTGCACAGCACGAAGAGGAGGATGTCCAACGCCAGCCCGACGCCGGCCACCGCGAGGGGAGCCAGCTTGTCCGCGGAGAAGACCACGGCGCACAGGACCACCACGTGGCAGTCGAAGAGCGCGGCGAAGACCACCAGCACCAGCAGGGTCTCGTGGCGCTGCCTCTTGAAGTAGGTCTGGTACAGGCTCTCCAGGGACGCGGGCACGAAGGTCAGCCGCAGGAAGCCGGGCAGGCAGAGGCAGGGCCCCGAGCTCCGCACGGAGATCT